AGCTGGATATCTCTGTTAGTTGTCAGCGTTTAGTCCATGGCTGTGGAATGCTAATGAGTGAGGTCTCTCTCCCTTTCTCTCTCTCTTTCTCTCTCAATCCCCCCTCTCCTCCTATTCCCCTCTCACCCTCCATCCCCGCCCCTCTGTCTCCCTCTCTTTCTCTCTCTCTCTCTCGCTCTCTCTCTCAGGGAGAAAAATCGGATCGATAGCTGACCCGATGGTTTTGGCCAATGCTTTATTTATCTGGCCAGGCAATGATATTATCAGCCTTGAACGTTATATACAGCAGACGTCTTCCTAAATCAACACAAAGGGATCCGCTTACACAGCGATCCGGGCTTTCTCACAACCACCTCTCCCTCTCTCTCGCTCTCCCTCGGCCGGTAGCGCGCGCACACACGCGTACGTACGCTTGGTGGATACACGCTTTTACGCACGGGCATGCAATGAACGCGCCCGCACACATACATACAGAGGGACCTCACACGTATGTATAAAAAAACCCTGCTGCCTATACAGTTGCGACAATCATTGGAAACTTGGGTGTGCGCACAGAGACACGCGCATTGGGAGGCGCCCCTGGGATGCACCCCCTTATGTTACATTCACACCCAGGGATAGTTTATACCCTGCAGGGCTGGATTTGATCCATGGAGGTTGTCTATAAGGTCCGTGGACAGATCTCAGAGCAGTTTGTTGTAATCATAAGATGTGCCTCTCTTCATTGACTGTCTGCAGCCAATACAACATGGAACTCGGGCTGTTTGCTCAGATATAACACGCACATCTCACGGGAATCCATTTAGTTTTTGGACATGTGTCCTCCCCTGTATGTATACCGTTCCCAGCCATTTTGCAGGCTCGTGTGGATGATGTGCGGGGCAGACGAGCGGCGCGCAGCACTTGTTGTCTGCTGCTGTCATCATTTTTACGCACAAGACAATATGAGAAATAAGCCGTGTCATACTTCACAGGGCCCCCCATTCATACGCGGAGCAGCTATTTGGAAATTGTTATTGTCTCAAACAACAGTATTTGTCAAATGTGACCGGGGAAACCAGGCTACTCTAAGTGAAATGAAGTGACGTGTAACGCCAATAGGACATTTCCACCGCTGCATAAAAACCCATTGGCTTGCATTGAGGGGTTTTTGGAGAAATAGGTTCGCTGACAACTTGGGATAATAAATGTTTCGCTTTCAGACAGATATCTCAAACGTGAAATCGCACCCAGCTGCTTGTGTAAAGCAAACAAATAGCCCCCTCGTGTTAGGAGTCCTCCACTTGTGGTTTGATGAATGAAACCAGACAAAGGTAAATGGTTATTTAACTCATTTCGTAGTAACACTCTGGTAACCGGAGTTTCCGAAATTACAGACACAAATGGGGCCTATAGTGTGCCACATATCCATCTCCTTTACCCACCGCAGCCACTGTCCAACCTGACGGTGCATTTACTCTGCACTTTGTTCCTCATCCATTTCCCTTTATTTGATTCACTATGAGCACTAATCATGTTGTCATCACATCAGAGGATGATTAACGTCTGGCTGAAAAAATAAAATAAAAATAAAGATGACATTTGAAGCTTATTGTTTCAACATTTGAAGTGTTGCGTAACGCACTAATTTGAGCTTCTGTCAGAGTGGAGACAGTGGAATATGGTCCACAGCCTAAATAGAAAATATCACTTTTCCTAGAGTCCTCCTGTGCTTTGCTTGTATCGCCTGTACAGAAATCGTTAATTAGGAACACATGCCACAATTTCACGTGTTTTTGAACTATTGCTTTATATAGCCTGTAGTGTAACGATTGTGTAACAGAATGCTCTCAACGAGAGGATAAAAGATAGTTGCTCTGGAGGGATTTAGAATACATTATGTGGAGACAACTGGCTGAAAGCTGCGTTTAATAACCCAGCAAACAATTTAGGCCAGATCTGCACAAAACAACACGGACCTGGGCTGTTTGTGATGATGGCCACGGTGAGGCCATATTCATCTTCCTTGAAAAAAACAAACATTTATTCTCACACGCTGCCCAGGAAAATATAAGAAGCAGACAAACACGCTAAATAATTAGTGTGCGTCAGTAATTGTCTGTTTTAGAGTTTGATTGTTTTGTGTCTGTTTATGTATTTTAATATAATATAAATTCCGCATATTGTGGCTCCAGCGTGACGCAGAGAAAGGCCCCAGTTTATTCTGCAACTTGCACCTGACCTCTGGCTGATGGGGGATTATTTTACACCATAAGGAGAAAAAAACATCAACGAGATAACCTGAAGAAATATCACATTCGTGTTTTTGTAGTAAGCAACACCAAGGCTGCGTGACAACTGACCCGCTGCTGCACACTGCGCAGACTGGAGGGCTAACAGGTACAATATGTCACATTAATCACGAGAGTAAAAAACTGTGTTCTTGTGAGAGAGAGAGCATCTGAGGACAACCTGACGCACAGACCCATAGCATCACTCCAGCATCAGCGCCCACTATAATGAATGCCTTAATACTGTAGCGTCTGAACAAGACAAGGCAACGCAAACAAATAACCCACGGGCACAGATTCCCCTCCCCCTCTATCCTACAAGGCAGATAACAAATATGGCGTTATGAAATTCAGCCTTTGCTATACATGCAGTTCTGCTCCTGTCCTCCTGTCTCTCGCGCAGAGGAAGATGTGTGCAATATGGCGCACAAGCAACACGTCCGATGATGAAGAGGGGACGACTAACAGGCAAATGTAATAATTGTCACACCGAAACCCCATTTTCTCCTTCTTCATAACGCCCTCCAGTTTATCACATTTTAGCACTGGAAGGTGTGTGTGTGTGTGTGTGTGTGTGTGTAACGCAGTAACGACAGGGATGGATGGATCCAGGTCCATAACTGGGCTTCGTCATTTGCGTGAGTGTATGGAGACACAAAAAGAGGGGACGAACACACACACACACGCACACACATACACACACACACACGCACGCACGCACGCGCACACTGAGACGGACCAATGCAAGGACAGAAACTCCATGTAACCCATCTAACACATTGAGGACTTATCGATGTACTCATTACACTCTGAATGTATCAGGCAAAACCAAGGCCACATCTCTTTCTGTCTTTTCCTCACACACACACACACACACACACACACACGCACACGTTTCTCCTCTAAATTGTGTCTGCACTGCCTCCCTCCATAGTCTCTCTACCTCTCTCTCTCGTTCCTCCTCTCCATTCCCACACAATGCATCACACTCGGTGTTCCTATCGACTGGCTTACATGCTGTAAAATACATTTTCCAGATTGATCACGCATATCACAGCAGCTTTGCAGCGGGGCCTAACCCTTTTGCCAAACGACGCCCACATCAATACCGAGCCATGCACTATCAAGGCAGTGCGTTTTTTTAAAGAACAGGGATGGAGAGAGAGAAAGAGAGAGAGAGAGAAAGAGGGGAATATTGTTTGGTTTGTGGAGAATCACCTTGATTAAGCCACAGGAGGTAGGATAGAGGTGGCTCTGTGTGTGATGCGCAGGCTTCCCTCGGCTGTCTGGGAAAAATATTAAACATTAATGCGCTCGCAGGTTGGCACAGGGCTCATTGCTGTATATGGTTCCTCACAGCCTCTCCTCCTTTGTGCTCGCATTGCCAGTTATGTCAGTGAGTTTGTGGAAATATAAGGTATGCAAGCGTTGTGTAATTACCACACTTAATCCCGTGTAGCACCTCGTTTTCACTGGTAGGTGTAATGGAGGTAAACAGTGTACTCAGAATTATGTCCAGGGCATTACAGGGTACTGACTCAACTGTATAGGCTGCACTTTGCGCTTTTTGTTATAGGAGCCACACAGAGTAAAACAAGCCCGAGAATCTTGACAATTGCTTCCATGAAAATGCTTGAGAAGGAGACATCGTTGCCTATTTCTTTTTTTAATAGTACAGTCACCATCACACAACTTCATCAACCGACCCTTCTGCAAAAAGCTGCATCATGGAGTAAGCAAATTGAAGGCAACAACCAATAAAATTCAAGAAACAATGAAAATTTCTTCCAAGACGAAACAAACAAAATGTATTTTGAAATGATATATTAAAAGTGCTTTTGATTTTCATGTCTCTCCTCTTTGACTGATGATCGACTCCACGCGCATTCGTGGCCCGGGGGACAGGCGCCCCAGACGGTCCTCTCAGTAAAAATGTCCTGGAGGTCAGTTTGCTGCTGCTGCTGCTGCTGTTGCAGGTCCATCGCATCAATTAAGGAAAAAAAAAGTTCAACCATCAGTGTTGATATTGTCATAGCGATTAGACTGTTTCTTATTTGTCTAAATTTCTTTATTTTTCTGTTTTTAAATTCTCACTTCAATTTTAATTCTTGGAGAACATAGCTTCGACAACATATATCGCACTCATTATAAGAAGCAAAAGGTTATATCAAAAAATTATTAGTATAGAATCACAGAAACCCTGGTTTAGAACCAGAAAAAATACAAAACAGAGAGGTACATAGACACAGGACAATTCTTATAATTGCTTGGAAACATTATTTTCCCGCTAAGTCTTGATTCTTTTTTTCTTACTGCGCATATGATGTTTTTCATTTTATTTGTATTTTTTACAAAAAAAAAAGGAAAATAAAGACTAGTATTTTACAAAATGAAGAGTATTGTTCTTGATGATGAGGGTGGATTTACACAGGTGTAAAGTCCAGTTCCGATATTTTTCTGTACATTATGTATTCCATCACAGTCCCAGAAGACAGAAAAAAGTTATGTCTTCCAAGTTTCTCAGAAAAGGTCCTATATATAGTTCTTCTTGGAGGAGGATGGGCTGAGGGGCGCTGAATTTTGGTCCTTTTTTCCCTCTCTTTTTTCCACTTTCATATTAGGATCATTGGATGGACATGTAAGGCCAGTTGAAGCTGCTCCCGGATAATAGCATATCCCTGATGAGGGTTTCAATAGGAGTTTTACCTACCAAGCGGACGAAGAACAGCTGCTCGATTACCGACGAGGAGACGGTGCGCAGAGAGGGCAGCCGCAGCAGGAGCTTCCCAAAGCGGCTGGGCTGGTTCGGGTACTGGCTCCTCACGTACTCCTCCAGGGCGCACTGGGATTTCTCCTGTAGGCTCTCGATGTGAGCTGCGTCCGACAGGCCGCAGGCGTCTGAGGAACACACACACACACACACACAAAGAACACTGTGGTTAGATTTGTCAAGTTCCTAAAAACCCCAAGGTATATCATGCTGTGGAAGAGAACCTGAGTCTGACATGAGTTTATTTCCCCTCAAACTTCAACATTTCGAGGAGCAAACAAGAAACAATATGTGTAGACGTCAAATGTATTATTAAAAT